CGTGCAAATATTTTTCTAAACATTACCTAGGAACACCAACGCGTATAATAATGTAGCAGATGCAAAACACACATTTTTAAAGCTCAAGTATTTTTTTATTGTTATCCGCCGACACAATCTCAAGTAACCAACGCTACGAGGAATTCCGTCGCACGCAGCTTGCGGTAATCTTAGCTGCTCCTCGTCAAGGAGCGCGAGCCCCACCGCTTGGCCCCTTCCACGTTCACCCGCGGCCAGAGCCCACACGGCACAGCCCCGCCAGCGAGCTCCCCCACGACTGTGACAGCAACCCCCAGGGAGGGGGGCAGGGTGTGTGGCACAGTGGTCGCGCACTCGTGCACCACAGCAAGGACGTGGGTTCGATTCCCGACTCTGGCGCCTGTCTGCGCGGAGTGTTTGTGTCTGTCCTCTCCCCCTGTTCTGCGTGGCTTTCCTCGGGGTTCTCCGGTTTCCTCCCAAAGTAAAAGAACAAAACACAGATACAATGTAACTGGTACTGAACAAACAGCACATTTCTCAAATCGGATTACACGTGGCAAAATCGCCCCTTCCTGGAACAAACAAAAAAAACTTGGCAGGAGCCAACTGAAAAAGAGTGTTGAGACTCAGCGAGGCTTTCCTGAGCAAAATAGCAAAACAATAAAAATACTTACGCCAGGTTCAGATCTGATCAGTTGCAGAACAAGATCGCTCTCGAAATCGCACCACTGAATCGATTATCGCCTGCAACTGCTTTGTCCGCATCTGAGCGGGCAGTTGCGCATCAAGGTTCCCGCGTGTGGAGATCGCTCGCGTGAGCGTCGTCGTGCTTCTGGTAACCGCTGTGTCCGTCTCCTTCGGTACTGTCAGCAACCAAGTTGCGCGCAACCGATGGCAGCTGAGCCGTGGAAGACGGCCTCTGGAATTCGCTTAGCAGTGCACAACTATGTCGAGCCGTTTACTCTCTTCACGCGTGTGCGGTGGTTCGTTAGCGCGCTCAGATTTTCCGCGAAGCAGCAGCAGCAGCGGATGGTGAGGGGGGAGGTCGCTAAACTAAAACCGCCGCGAGGAGCGGGAGGCATCAAACTTCAGTCGGACCACATCACCCCCCCCCCGGCCCCGAATCGAAGTCGATCGCCAGGCGGTAGCCGCGCGGACAAACATCGCCGCCACGACGAGGCATCGTCAGGAGTCGAGTGCCGTTGCCGACAGCACCGTCCGTCTCGCAATCCCAGGCGCTCGCGTGCCGGGCCGGGCGCCGCATCGTCGTCCCACCGCTCTGGGGGCACGGCGCGCTGATGAAACCTGTCAGGTGGCAGATGTTTGTAATTTTCGCTAATATAGCCGCGGCAAAACGGCGGCGGTGCGGGGCGAGTGGACACTTTCGCCGGTACGTTCCGCGGTGCCGGCTCCAATTGCGGCGACCCTGACGCTCTCTGGCAACTGCGGCAGATGCGGAGTTCCCTCCCGCGGCGGCAGCAGCGGCGGCGGCGCGAGTCATAGTGCAGTCCGCTTCAATCAGCCTCTTCAGAAGCCCGCCGCCAACGCCTCTCGACATGGAAGAAGTTCACGTTGATTAATCGCGGGGGGCTGGGATAGAGCCTCTCGGTTAAGAGCACTCGCCACTAAGCGCCCGTGAAACGCCAATGCCAATTGGGTGTCCAAATCTGCCGGGGAATTTTCTGCACGAATTTACAAATTGAGATTTGCCTTTCAACCCCCCCCCCCCCCCCCCCCCCCACGTAATAATAATTCGGGTAGCGGTGCAGGGCGGTGAGAGGTGGTGAAGACTTGGAGAGAGACCTTCATTCAGCAGTGGATAATAAGGCATAAAGCTCTACGCTGATCTTGTGCATTATATTAGAGCCGGCACTTATGAAGACAAGGCGCTATTACCGATCTTTTTTTTATAAACACAATTCATGTCAAGATAGAGCATGCGCTAGCAATTCTAAATCAAGTCACTTATCTGTTGTATGAAGTTCGGGGAGCTGTTATTATTCTTATTGTGACGTAGGGAATCAAGTCGCATATCGATTTCCGAGTTCATTGCCTGATGAAGCTTACGAAAGTTTGGGTGAAACGTCGCCATCCTACGTTGATGTTAAATTTGGTCGTGAAATGACTTAAGGCGCCAGCGACGAGTTTTTTGATCAGCGTTGATCAATACATTGGCCCGTATAAATAATATTGTTGTAAAGCTTGTCGGGTGGTGGAGTGTTAATGTCAATAATTTGGGCATAAAACTACCTGGTGAAATAACTCAAAAACAAATATACACTCAAATGTAAGTATAAAGGTTAAGCTATTGTCAATTAAATGGAGTGTTAAAGACGAGTAAATGTTATTCACCTTTAACAAATGCATATTGATTCCATAAATGTATGCTGAACTTCTTTCGTACCGTACGTAGCCAACCGCGCTAATCGGAGGTGCGGGGGAAGGACAAAACAATTACACTGGTCAACAAGAAAAAATTCAGGCCTGGACTTTTGCAGGGTGCTGATTCCAATCTGATCTCAGATTTGCTCTATCATCTCATTTTTATGCTATCGGCATACCCCGTTTTCATTGATTTTACCCGAAGTTGTTGCGAGTCAGTGACTGCTTTAGTGTTAAAATATGGTGTTGTATTTTTAGGATAGTGTGTTTATAATATCATTGTATGTAGATATTCACATTTATTTAATATTCTTCTTCTGCAGTTTTAATTGAAAATCCAATATTTGATATCTCAAAAACCTGATGTGATAAGACAAAAACTGATGCCAGATTTGGAATCAGAACCCCAAAATTACTTTAAAACCGTTGGAATACCTTATGCCAGAAAAAGTGTGTTGACCAGTGTTATCACAAAAAGCAGTGTTAATCGAGTTTTCAATCTAGATTTAAAAGTGCATAGATCCAGTGGCTTCCTAACGTAGCTGCACGTGTATTCCGGACATTCCCCATAAGAAGGAAAGGTTCTCCCAAAGGGCCCTAGAGATCTGCCGGTCTCGAATCAATGCTGCTAAAATTGCGGACACCTCAAATAAGCCGTGGGATCGACGGACTGTGTGAGACATCGTTTGTTGATGTTTGTCTGTTGTGAGACGGACACGAGAAGGAGGAGATAGAATGGGTATCCATTCCCTTGAATGGGTCCGGCTTGGAGAGGCGTTTGATCTACTGGACATCTGTGCAGACAGAGCTTGAGTTCAACATGTAGTAGGCTTCCGCGACCAATATGATTAATAATAAAGGATGTTGGGTTAGATCGCCTAAGTATAAATGTTGTGTCGTAACCCTCCACCACCCGACACCGCTAATTAGTAAGGGATTTGTCACGTAAACAAAACGCCAATCAGTTACTACTTTAGCCCACCGCTGTGTTGGAGAGTAAATCGACAACATTTACAATTTGAGTAGTGCGATGTTTCGCTGGTAATAAAAAAAAAACTTTATTATGAAAAAGAGCTTCACGGCTAAGGTGCCGTCCATAAATGACGTCACGCGATTTTGGGGAACTTTTGACCCCCCCTCCCCCCCTCGTCACACGGCGTCACAAAAAGTCAGACCTCCCTCAAATATGACGTCACAAAGCTCTGCCCCCCCCCAAACCATATTTCCATTTTGAAAATAAAACATGCTTCAAATCGCTTTATACTATGGTCATTGTAGTGCGTATTTAATGTGGCCCTGCACTCTGATGTTGTAGGAGAAAACATGTATTAAAAAGGCGTTGGAAAGCTTAAATTTTGCATAAAATTCACTTTAAAATATTCAACGTCTAACTAAAATGCAGATGTTCAAAATATTATATTGAAATGTCTTATAATTATAAAATATTTAAAGTCATTGTAACTATAAAAAATACTTTAAACTTTGTAGTAGAACGAAGCAAAATGGAGAGTACAATTATAACAATCACATATTCATTCCACAGAATGAAAAGCCCTGGTAGAATCATTAAAATAAAAATGTTTAATAACAATTATTAAAAAAATGTATGCTTCTCCATTCTCCCATGGAGAAGCAAAATGCTTCTTCATAGAACAAATAAAAGGTGACCTCAGTAAATTTAAATAATCAAATAGTTAATCATGAAAATTAATCAAAATTAGTGTTATAACAATTATATTGTTTAAATTTATATAAAGTTGCGCATTTTGATGTTACGTCACATTTCTCAAACCCCCCTCCCCCCCTCGTCACACATCGTCACAAATGTCTGACCCCCCCTCACCCCCCCCCTAGGTGTGTGACGTCATTTATGGACGGCACCTCATCGGATTCGTCGAATATAAATATTTTGATGAAAAAAATAATAGGTTTTATCCTTTCTGATAATAAAATATGAGGTGTTAAGATGTTCAAATAGACACCTTTTCCAAGGCATCGCGTGAGGGTAACAACTATTATTGTTGATTGACAACTCTGACACGGGGCACAGAAACTGGACAACAACAAGGGGGTAGACCCCAAACAGTGACATCATCACTCCTCACGGGGGGGGGGGGGACACCCGGGGCACGCGGCGCGCTTTGCCGCGGACCCCCGACCCGAGCTACCAACGGGACACCGCGGAGCACGCGGGGCGCTTTGCCGCGGACCCCCAACTCGCGCTACCAACAGGACACCGCGGCGCGCTTTGCCGCGGACCGCCGACCCGCGCTACCCTACGGGACACCGCGGGGCACGCGGCTCGCCTCCAGCCCCGCAGCAGAAATCGGCGACGAGTCGCGGATTTCTGGATGAGAATCGCGGATTTCTGGATGAGAATCGCGGATTTCTGTATAAATCGCGGATTGTTGTCACCGCGGTACCATTTGGTGACGAGAAACAGCGGCAGCGTGAGAGCAACACAAACACGCGTGACGCCTCCTGCCACGACTGCTGTACATCACTGCCAGCAGCAGCAAGCAGCCTTGGTCAATCCACTGCTGGATTAAGGCCTCCACCCCCCCACCCTCCCCCCCGATGCTCTGCGATGTAAATGATAATCCGCCCTTCGCCAGCCCCAGCCAGAGAGCGGCACTCACCTCGCGCACGCTTTGACTTTGTCTACGAACTCGCAGTAACACGGCCTTGATGACGATGCTGGTGGTGATGCTTGCGCCTTTGCCGCTGTCATTGCTGCTCCTGTTGTCGCTGATGATAGTGGTGCTGCTGCTGATGATAGTAGTGCTGATGGTGGTGATGATGATAGTGGTGGTGCTACTGATGGTGGTGCTGCTGATGTTGCTGCTGCTGGTGGTGCTGATGATGACGCTGATGATGGTGCTGATAGTGGTGGTGCTGCTGATGATGGTGCTGCTGATGGTGGTGGTGCTGATGATGGTGCTGCTGATGATGGTGTTGCTGCTGATGGTGATAGTGGTGATGATGGTGGTGCTGATGGTGATAGTGGTGGTGCTGATGATAGTGGTGGTGCTACTGATGGTGGTGCTGATAGTGGTGGTGGTGCTGCTGCTGATGATGGTGTTGCTGCTGATGCTGCTGATGGTGGTGGTGCCGGCGGCCTACACTCATCGCGGGCCGCCGCCGCCTCTGGCGTCTCGCGAGTTGCGTGGCGGCGGCACCCGCGGCAGGGCAGCCCCGAGCGCAGCAGCTCGAGCAGCAGCGGCGGCGCCTCGTCTCCCTGCACCTCCATGTCACCCCGGGGGTGTTACCGTGAGAGGGACGAGGTGTGTTACCGTGAGGTGTTACCGTGAGAGGGACGAGGAGAGACGGGGTGGGGGGGAGAGAGCGCGTGGAGCCGGCGCAGCGAGCTCGGCTCCACGTGTTGCGGCTCGCGATCGGCGCAAGGGCGGAGCAATCGAGCGAGTCGAGAGAGTCGATTGCGACTGAAGCCGTTCCGATGATCGTGACGATGATGATTTGGGATGGGGACGCCTCGTTCTGAATAATCCGAGCCGCGTGTAAATGGTTCGTGGTGCGGCTTCTAATGCGGAGAACGCGACGGCGCCACTCCCGTTTGCAATCATCTTCTGGAGCAGTCTGGTACTGGTGTTACAGGGTGGTCCAGATGTCTTGTGACCCCCCCCCCTCCCCATTTGATTCTCTGAAACGTAAGATCTTTTTTCGAAGTAATGTTTATTTGAAACAAATTAATATGCAAAGGCACAAAAAAATAAGGGGTTAATTATTTGGCGGGTCACAAGACATCTAGACCACCCTGTGTGCATGGCTACCCGAAGGACAGAAGGCCCCACCAGAGACATCCCGCATCATCGTCCAGTCGAAGCGCTTTGATGCACGCGGTCAAGCATTCACGTGGGCGCCAGCATCCACGTCCCGTGCTGAGTGGGGGTGGTGGCCCACTCCCTTGAGTCAACCACCTGCACCGACCGGGAAGGTCCACAGACTCTCTTCTCTTCGATGCAAAAGAGACGAGGTGACCTTTTTTCAAACCCCACGTTTCCAGAAGTCAATGTTATCAATGGACTTGCTACAGAATGTAACAATACAGCTACACACCGCGTGTAAATCTTGCCCCACACATATCGGTCCGTCTCCTGGACATCTGTGAAAAAGAGCTTCATAGCTTATCGGATTCCTGCAGTATAAATAAATATGCTGATGTTGTGCTCCAGCCGCGACACCTACAGCCGCAGTGCTTTGCCGCTCTCGCAAACCTCGCCGGTTAACCACCACCTCCTCCTGCAGCCTCGGAAGTCGTACGGCCCCCACCCCTCTGGGCCCCCACGGCCCCCACCCCTCTGGGCCCCCACGGCCCCCACCCCCTGGGCCCCCATGGCCCCCACCCCCTGGGCCCCCACGGCCCCCACCCCTCTGGGCCCCCACGGCCCCCACTCCTCTGGGCCCCCATGGCCCCCACCCCCTGGGCCCTACACGGCCCCCACCCCTCTGGGCCCCCATGGCCCCCACCCCCTGGGCCCTACACGGCCCCCACCCCTCTGGGCCCCCACCCCTCTGGGCCGCGCTCTCCCGAGTTCCACAACTAGACGTCGAGGCCACTTGCGCCAGCCCAGCGCAGGGCGATGATGATGATGCTCGTCGCGTCAACCTCGCTACAGTCAGAACCTGGTGACCTCCCCCTGATCACCACATCCCCTCCCCCCGCACCACACCCCCAAATCTTCTTCTCTCACCTGGCTGCTGATGTAGGTGCAGAGCGACGGCCACAATGTCACATTGAGGTGGTGAAGCCAGATAACCGCGTCACGTGCAGCGGAGTGTATCGCCGTGATTAAATTTTGAATACAAAAATTCGTGGCTGCAGGAATTCATATTCTTGGTTCTTTCGGCAAAGTCACGTAGATATTAAATGAAATTACAAATAAAAGCAAAAAACCACGATGTTTCGATCGCAACACAAGCGGTCTTCATCAGGCGAATTATTTTATTTTTATTTTCTACCTACGTGACTTTACCGAAAGAACCAAAAATATGTATCGCCGTGATGTGGATCGGGGGCATTGCGTGACATCCCCAAACGTCGTCTCTTTATCGCTGCTCCCCTCGTGAACGGAATCAACCCCAGACTTCTCCTTAGCGCTGCCTCTGTCAACAGGAGGACGTAAATCATTCCACATCCGTGGGCTGGCATCGTAAAGCCAATTAACGTATCCTACACACTCGGCCTACGGGGGTTCTTTATGCGTTATACTCAGGCTTACCTTTTGGCTGTAGCGCCGGCACTCCCTTGGTGACTCGATACACATGCAGATAATGGGGCAGTGTTCGGTCGTGTGATAAACAGGCGCGGTGGCGAGATGTTAACCACCTCACCTGGTACACAGGAAGTCGTGGGTTCGATCCCGACTCTGACGCCTGCTGTATATTTGTAGTTTGCGTGTCCCTCTCTCTTCCCGTGGTCGGGTGGAATTTTCTCCGGGTTTTCCGTTTTTTGCCGCTGCCACATTGAGACACGTGCGTTTGGAGTATTTGTCTGCCATGAATGTCCGCGTGGTGATGAAAAGCCACTTCGTTGAGCTGTCCTTTGTGGCCATGTCACTTCTGAAAACGAGCTGTGCAGCTTAGTGGGCCTTAGCTGGTTAGATAAAAAAAAACATAGAATTTGTTTAGTTTATAACTTGGATTTTCCACGTGTGCTGCTGTAACGTGTGGCGACGTCCAGATTTCACCTCCCCCCCCCCCCCATATGGACAGCGCCTCGTTAAGAGTGGAGACGACTCTGGCTTTGAAGGTGGAGGAGGTATTCCGTCTCAAGTTGCGCGTGCAGGTGATTCGGGAACTTCATCAAAGCTTCTTCCATCAGGCGGAACCATTAATGAGCTCGGGCAAGCCTGTCATGAGAATCGATCTGGCGAGAGACCAGCAATGGTGCTTTATTACATATCGCCTCCACATTCTAATTATCCTTTAATTACCTACATGTGTCACCTGCAACTGGGAAAGGGTGTGGGGCGCGGTAGTGTAGTGGTTAGCGCGCTGCGCTACGAACCCGGCCACCCGAGTTCGATTCCCGCTCACGGCCAACACCAGTGGCGAATGAACCGGTTCTGAGCCTCCCCTAGGTCGATTCAGCCTGAAATGAATACCTGGTGCGGCGTGTAAAAGCATCGGCAATGGGGGGCCGCGCGTGTTGCTGGACACGGACTCCCTCGTGTGCCGTGCCGACATTCACATGCGCTGGCTGACAGCACTTGCCCCAACAGTCGGTTAAGACTCTACGAGGGATATGGTGTTGGGCAAGATGTGTACGCTCGCCTATGCTTCGTTCATACGATAATTGCGCATCAGTCATTCGAGGAATAATTTAGAAAATGACGCATACGGAGAGGTGATACATTTTAAATATTCAACAACACTTCTCAATTCATGTTTACCGCATGGCCAATCCACTGCTTGGATGAAGGTCTCCCAATGTCTCTCCAAGTCGCCGCCCGCCGTCTCTCGCCATCCTGCCACGATGTAGCAGTCCACCCAGCACCTGCGTGCCCGCTGATTCCATCGCCACATCCTTGACTGCCACCCCGACCCGAGTCTTGCCCATGAAACAAAACAATTAACCCGTGGCGAATACCATCACTGCCGTTATTGCATTCTCCAGGATTATAAAACTCTCCGGAATTTGGATGCACCCACAAAAATTGTGCCGGGTGTCAGTAAAGTTATGCCAATCTCGTCTCTCTCATACACAAAGACAAAGATCCCCCGTATAGCCTTAACAGACCCCATCAAATTGCGGCTAATGCTTTGTTCTGTTTCCCAACACAACCCGGAACACTACCGCTGTTTAGGTGATCGCGGCTGTGCGGCAAGGCTCTCCAATGTGTTTTCCTGTTACACCGCGTGTTGTTCGGCACGATGTCCGACGTTTCGCGCCACGTGCCGGATGCTTCTTTGGGGAAACCGAGTTGAAACACACTACGCTTAGAGAAGTCGCGCTCAGGTCATCGTTGTAGGTGCGCGCGCGTGTCGGTGCGGCTTCGACATTTAGACCGCAGCATGGCAAGTCGTAGCGGATCGTACCGCGCTCGTCACACGGAACGAGCGCGCGCGCATTAACGCGTCCACTGCGTCAACGCGCCGGAGCGAAGTGAATGAACGAGCGCATGGAACGGACGCTCCCATTAATATTCCACTAGAGCGGCGGGAATTGCGGGGAGGTGGGGGGGGAGACCCCTTCTCAAGACCATCCTTTATACATAAATCAAATCCCACAGCACACACACACACACGGCGTATGCGATACAGATGTTTCATGCGAAAAATTATACACATTATACATTCTGGCCGATCTCCCTCCTCTCTAATTGTTTGCAGGCTCCAGGGGGCGTCCGTCGGACTGAATACCAATTGGGGGACTTGCGGAGCGCCGCGAAAACTCCCCTCTATCCCCTCTCTCCCCTCTATCCCCTCTCTCCCCTCTATCCCCTCGCTCCCCTCTCTCGCTCTCTGTCCAAGGGTCTCGCAGCTCTCTGTGCGCGACGTGCGCGCATTACGATGCGATATCGTGCAGCGGCGCGGTCTGGCGGGACAGATGCGTTATTTGACATCGTACAACATTGTTGTTGTTGTTAAAGAACCCAGCCTCGCACGCATCGTTTTGAACGTCGATTGCCTCCTGTGCGCGGGGCCCCGAAACGTTGTGAAAAGAAAGAGCCCCATTCAGCTGCTGCCCCCTTTGTGACGCGTGGCGGCATTGATGGCCACGTGGTCCGCCTCACTCCGCCTGCCGCTCGATTGCCACGGGCACGGAACACGGTCGGTGTTTGTGTGTGTCGGTGTTTGTGTGTCGGGTGTTTGTGTGTCGACTCAGCCTCAAATGAGTAGCTGGTGCCATGTGTAAACATCGCCGCTAGAGAGACAAAGGCGGCCGGGCGTGGTGTTGGCCACCCACCCCCTCGTGTGCCTTGCCAGCCTTTATAGGTGCTCGCTAACAGCACTTGCCCCTACAGTCTATTAAGGCTAAACGTGGAGCGCCGGGTGGCTAAAGCACAGCAAGTTGGCACAGTAGGGAGCACAGGTGGTGCATCAGCAACTCATCTCAGTCATCTCAGTCAGTTGACCCGTGGCACCTGGGTCTGCCCCGTGACCTGCCGGCGGGCGTTCGACACTTCACGTGGCCTCAAGGTGCACATTGCCTGGCACAAGCGTCGTGGTGACGTCAACGCCACTTAGTGGCGAATGGCGGTTGTTGTGTCGGTGTGTGTGTGTGTGTGTGTGTGTCGGTGTGGTGTGTGTCGGTGTGTGTGTGTCGGTGTGTGTGTGTCGGTGTGTGTGTCGGTGTGTGTGTGTGTGTCGGTGTGTGTGTGTCGGTGTGTGTGTGTCGGTGTGTGTGTGTGTCGGTGTGTGTCGGTGTGTGTGTGTCGGTGTGTGTGTGTCGGTGTGTGTCGGTGTGTGTGTGTCGGTGTGTGTGTGTCGGTGTGTGTGTGTCGGTGTGTGTCGGTGTGTGTGTGTCGGTGTGTGTGTGTGTCGGTGTGTGTCGGTGTGTGTGTGTCGGTGTGTGTGTGTGTCGGTGTGTGTGTGTCGGTGTGTGTGTGTCGGTGTGTGTCGGTGTGTGTCGGTGTGTGACCGCGACACTCCCGCCAGGTACTGGACGTCTGTGAGAAA